AAAAAAAAAAAAAAAAAAGGGAAAGAGGCACCATGACTGCCTTGCCAAGGTCCTGAGCTCGATTCCCAGTACTGAAAAAAAAAGGAAAGAGAAGGTCCGGGGATTTAGCACAGTGGCGCCATGAAGGTTCTGAGTTTGATCCCTGGTACCAAAAAAAAAGGTAAAGAAAAAAAAAAAAAGAGGAAAGTGGGAGCTTGGCTGGATGTCCGGCGCCACCATTTCACCTTTCCCTGGGCTCTCAGCACAGCTCAGGGCCCACTGGCCTGGGGGCGCCATACACTGGGCCCCTCCTGCTGCAGCTCAGGAGGGCACTGCGAGGGCCAGGACAGCCGTGTCTTCCTGTGCCCTGCCCACTCAGAGCCGGGTGAGGACATGGTCATACCACAGAGTCGTGGGGTGCAGTCTCCTAATGCTGCTCTTTAATAGGGACCCAAGCCAGCATTGTCAGCTTGCGGCATCACTTGGCACCACAGCAAAGCGCTCTACTCAGCCACTGGACCTGTCTTCCCAGCAGCCTGGATCCCGAGTGACACGCGCCTCCGTTTATCTGTTCTGATTCATAAAAAATTACAAAACACTCCCTGCCCCAGGTCCTCATGCTGACCCTGGAATGGGGGCTACTGGTGTGTCAGGTGGGAGGTACACAGCAGCAGAAGCCCAGGTGCAACGGCTGCGATGTTCAGCACCCATGGTACCCACCACACTGTCCAGGAAGGATGTGTGGGGCTCAGTCCCTCGCACCCTTCTGGTCGATCGTGGGCAGGCAACACCATGGCCGGTCGGACTGGGTGTCCTGCGTGTCCACCTGCAAGAGGAAGGGTATGAAGGTGGGCAGCCACAGCCCGGCCCACCCAGCCAGCAGAGGGGAGACTGCACTCTACCTCCTTTCGTGCGCCCCCGAACTTCAGGGCTCTCAGTGTGGGGCTGGAGTGCGAGGACAGGTTGGAGGTGGCCGACAGCCACAGCGGGGGAAGCTGCGAAGGCCGGGCTGGGGCCGCTTGCCACAGGGGTGCCTTCTTCAAACAGAGTGGGCTCCAGCTCCCTGTGCACTCCCCATGGTCCCCACCCACTCTCCCACGTTGCTGTCCCCACACAGCCCCTCCCTGGCAGGCATGGGACCCAGGAACGGCCCCCGCCAGCCCACCTGGCAGTTGCCTCCTGCCCCACCCACTCCGCTGTGAGGCCCCAAGCCCACCCAGCAGCTCTGGTGAAGGACAGCTTTGACATCTTTCAAGTTTCAATAAAAGGTTTTGTGGCCCACGAAAAGTATGTGCACACAAATGTCACATTCCGTGTCCCAGGCAGAGCCAGTACCAGGGCCACCCATGGGGCTGAGGAGGGACAGAGGGCTCTGCAGTGAGGGACTCACGGCAGTGTCGAGGGGACCCTGTGCCAAGGAGGCCCTCAGACCTGGAGAGGGCCAGACTGGGCAAGGGGACATGCAGATGTCCAGGCACCACTGGACATACTGGGTGTCTGCGGCACGTGTGTCCCTCAGGGATGAAGGGACAAAGAGTGGGGTGGGGGGTGCAGCGCCAGCCCCAACAGAACAGCACATGAGGCCACTGCCAAGTGAAGGTCTCACGTCTAAACCAGCGGGTGACAAGCGACGTCCTCCAGGGACGGTGCTGTGGCCAGGGGCTGAGCAGGGATGAAACAGGTGGGGGACATGGGCTGGGAGGGCTTGAGGGCCAAGCGCATCTGCAAAGGACTTGGGTATAGAGCAGGCAGGCCAGGCACAGGGGCTGGGGCCAGGTCCCCTCCCTGGGCCACTCGGGGTGCAAAGCACAGGCATGCCAGCCTGCTGTGCCATCTTCCAGCAGCACGCCAGAGATGGGCCACAGCTTGCTGATCGCAGTGTCTACCTGCTTGCGGTCCTCCGGGATTGGCCATTTGTGGTACTCCGGGAAGCTCGCGTGCCTGCGGCTGGCCCGGGCCTGCATCTCAGCCGCCCTGCGGAGGATGACACAGTGGCTGCCCCCTCTTTGGGCCCACGGTGCCATGGAAGAGGATCTGCCACCAGGAGTGGCCACTGTGCTTCCTCCCCACATGCTACCAGGACCTGGTGTTGAGGCCGCTGGGCCTGCCGCACCTCCTGACAGCCATCAGCCGTGCAGACAGAGGACAGGACGGCAGGGTCTCGGCACCGCCCCTCACGCACACAGTCCAAGCCCCAGCCGCCCCCCTCCCCACCCCCGGCTCTGGTACACACGGCCTAGCATGGGGACCCTACCTCTGCTCCCGAAAGTAGGGGTGCTGCAGGGCCTGGTGGGCAGTGATGCGCTCGTCCGGGTCATAGGCCACCATTGCATGCAGGAGAGAGAGGCACTTCGGGGACAAATTGGCTGTTGGGAGAGGGATTCCTGATCCCTTTTTAAAAGGAAAATCAAAACTCATAGCTCTCGACCTGCATTGAAAGCCCAACAGTACAGGGTCAGGCTGCATCTGACCTTGCACATCACTTCCGCCTCGAGGGCCCCGCCCAGGAACAACCACTGGTCTGCAAGGGGCAGGTCCTGCCTGTACAGCCTGCAGGGACAGGGACGGTGTGCCGGGGAGGGCAGGGCACGTGTCATGCTGTGAGCCTAAACTTGCTCTAAAACAGTCTCTTTAGACACACTGTACCACACCTGTAATCCCAACCACTCAAGGCTGAGGCAGGATTGTCTCTAACACTTAAAAAACTGGGGAGGGTATATGTGGGATCCTCTATGTTATAAACATGACAAAACTACTTCTCCTGTAAAAGATTAATGTTACCTTCTCATCTGAGAAGAATAAAGCTGAAGAAAAGGAAAAACAACCAAAAACCTGAAGTCCAGAATGACTATGATCTGTATTGTTCCAGGACCCCAGGACCGCCTGGGGTCCCTTTGGCCTGCAGAAGCCTCAACTCCAAGCAGAACAAAACCAGAATCGCCCCAAGGCCACTGCCTGGGGAGTGCTTCCTACCCGAGCTTTTCAAGTGCTGTGTGAAATTCTAGGGACAAAATCCAAGTCCCAGAGAAATGCCCATGACTTTCTGTGGTGCCCAGCACACTAGACTGACCTCAAAGACACAAGTTCTAGTAGACATGGCAGTGTACACCTAAATCCCAGCACTCGAGGCTGAGGCAGGAGGATTCTAAGTTCAAGTCCAGGCTGGGCAACTTGCTACTTAGTGAGATCTTGTCTCAGAATGAAATAAAAAAGGGCTGGGATGTAGTTCATTGCAAAAACACAGGATTCAATCACCCAGGCTGGCTCGGGCCTGGGCATCGCCCTTCAGGGCAGCTGGGCCCGGTGAGGGCGCTAGTCCAGCCGAGCTGGCCCTCAGGGCCCACACTTACTGTGTGAACTTGGTAAGGGTCTTTGGGGCGGGCGTGCCAATAACATCGTGGATCTTTGAGATCTGGTCCAGTTCGTTCACCCCAGGGAAGAGGGGCTGCAGGCTGGGGGTGACAGGGACAGGGACAGGCAGGCACTCAGCTCGGGTGCGGGCTTCTGCTGGTGGCTGATTGCCCTGCAGCCACATCGGGGCTGAGGCTGTGGCTCTTCCTCCACCCACGTGCCCTCTTTCCCTGAGGGCAACGTGACAGTGACCACACCAGGCGACCACAGCAGCTCCGGCTTCCAGCAAAGCTGTGCAGTCAGGTGGGTCAGGCCAGGCCTTGCTGATGGACTTGTAAGAGATTTAAGAGCTGGGGAGAAATGCCTCATGCATTACATGCCACCAAGCAGAACTCAAAATGTGGCTCTGGCAGGGGCCCAGCTGGCACTCAGCCGGCGATGGGAGAGAGGGCACTGAGGGAGGGCGGGGGTACCAACTGCGAGGCAGCAGCATGGGTCTAGCAAGGAAGTCCTGGCACCCTTCCTGACTTGTTCCAGGCTCTGGCACATGAAAAAGAACTGTCTTCGGCTGCCTGGGGCTTTGGTGAAGTCACCACTTAGCTTTGCAAAGTGACAAGTCACTGGGATGCTGCTGAGCAGCAGGGCTGGGCAGCCCTCTGTCCTTGCCTGTTCCAGTGAGGTCACCACTCTCAGGACGCTTGGTGAACTGTGGGGGCCGAGCCTGCTGCCCGAGGCACCTTGTCCTCAATCTGGGGGCAAGAGCCTCTCACAGGGGCCCCAGGGGGCTGGAGGCTGCCACTCTCCCTGGCCCCTTTGTGTCCGTCTATCACTAATCTAGCCCAACAGAGAGGACCCCACACACTGCCAGGGCCTGCACGGAAGATGTCGGCGAAGTTCATCTACTGGATTAAAAATCAGAAGAACCCAGGATGCCCTGAACCCGGGGGCGCTGAGGCCACAGGCGTGGGGTGGCCTTGCCCAGTGACCGAGCAGGGCTGACTCGTACCTGGCGATCTCGTAGAAGACGCAGCCTGCACTCCACAGATCCATCTTTGAGGTGTAGAAGCCATCGGTGAGCAGGCACTCGGGAGCCCGGTACCAGCGGGTGGAGATGTACTCTGTGTACGGCTGCCTGGAGTAGACGCTCCGGCACGACCCAAAGTCCCCGAGTTTCAGGACATCCTGCTGTGAGAGTGGGGCAAGGGACACCTGTCCACAGCCACAGCCACATGGGGGTGCTCAAGCACTGGCCCATGCTGGCACAGCACACGCAGAAACTCACGCATGGGGTGCGCCCACACTGGCTAAGGCTGAGGTTTCTCCCACTGTCCATGGGTGCACAAGGCCATGTCTTGGTGTTGGCTCGGAACAGGGCCCTCACATGGCTTGGCCCACACGAGCTCTCACAGCCACGTGAAGTCACCACCACGTGGCCTCAGACAGGCACAGGCACATGGCATATGGCCCTTTACACACAGGCAGCACAGGTAGCTTCGAAGTGACACACTCAGCTGTGCATGGAGCGTGGCAACTGGATGGGCTGAGTTCCCACCCACAGAGTGAGGGACAGCACACTCCTGTAGGTAGACAGTTACGCTGATGATAGGTCTTAAAGCTTCTCTAACCTGGGAGGGAAGAACCCTCCCAGAGGCACGCTGTCCTGTTTCCAGGGATTGCACGCTCACCCAGGGAGAAAGGTGTGCTATCCACGGTCACTCAGCACCAGACTTCCCTGTGATCCTCACCTTTACGAGTATGTTTTCCGGCTTCACGTCTCTGTGAAATATCCCATTTCTGCAGTGGGTACAGAGGGAGCACAGACCGCCTGCACCTCCATCCGAGCCACACGTGGGCTGCCCCTCTCCCCAGGGCCCACGCACCTGTGCATGTGGTCCAGGGACTTGCACAGCTGGTACATGTAGTTCATGACCTTCCTCTCCGACAGCGGGCGTCTTCTCCCTGCACGAAGCATGGGGTGGACTCATGCCCTTCCCATCTGATAATGCACAAGGGCCAAGTCCCCACAGAAAGCTGTCTGAAATGACCCCAGAGCGAGCAGTGCGCCTGCAGAGCCTGCCACCAGAGCTCTGCACACTGCACGGCTTCCTCTGAACTCCGTCATCTGATGGCCAGGCCTCTGGATACCCACACGCTGTGCTGGTGGGGAACACAAGAAGCCACCTGATACCCGGCCTTCCTGGACTTCCTGTCTGCGAGGAGCTCCTTGCTTTATTTATTTTCAGATGAGGTCTTGCTATGTTGCCCTGGCTGGTCTCAACCTCCTGGGCTGAAGTGACCCTCCTGCCTCAGCCTCTGGAGTAGATGGGCTATTACAGGAGTGTGCCATAGTGGTCAGCTTTGGAGATCTCCATTTTTAAGGGAAGAGATTATGGTTCAACACTAGTCCCCCTGCTTGCTTTAGAGCCACCATCTTCCCATTTATTTATATTTTCCAAACAGGGTCTCACTATGTAGCCCAGACTGGCATCGAACTCACAGTGATCCTTCTGCCTCAGCCCCCTGGGTGCTGGCATATAAACATCCAGCCACACCACCTTTCTTCACAGCAGATGACTATTCAGCTCAGTGCCACGGTGCTCAGGACAGCCTGAGGCTTTGTGCTGTGTCCTAAGGCTCTCCAGCCCTGTCTGTGCTGGAGAGGGTCCCTCTCCCTGACTCAGTACCTTCATTTCATTTTTTGCAGTTCTGGGGACTGAACCTGGGGCCGGGCCTTCACACTGAGCTACATCCCCCAGTCCTTTTAAATAATAAAAAAATTATTTTGTTTTATTTTATTTTTGAGACAGGGTCTCACTATATAGCCCAGGCTGGCCTTGAAGTCGTGCTGATTCTCTTGCCTCAGACTACCAGATTGCTGGGATTACAGGTGTGCAACACTGCTTGACTAAGTTCATAAATTTCAAAGTTGCAAAATGATCATGCTCACCTAACAGTTCAGAAATCCACTTTATTCCTCCCTGAATAGTTCTAAGTTAACAAAAAAAGTTTTTTGGGGTATTGGGGATCAAACTCAGGTCCTTGTACTTACGAGACAGGCAGCGGAACCACTGGGCTAAATCCCTGTCCCCATAAGTTAACAATTTCTTTAGGCCAATAAATGTATTCTTTTCCTCTGCATAACTATCATTATAATATGGAGACAAAAGAAAGTAATTTAGCCGGGCGTGGTGGCACACACACACTTGGGAGGCTGAAGCAGGACAAACACTGTGTTTGAGGCCAGGCTGGGCTACACAGAAAGATCTGTCTCAAACAAACAAATAAGCAAACAAAAGAAAGTAATTTAAATGGTAAAACAGCAAAGTACACTTAACTTTTTCATGGAATACTGTAACTTTCTGTTCTGCCTTGGCCAGCTCTTTTGAGTGTGAGGAAGCCCGGCAGGTGAACTTTGGGCTGCATAGAGCTGCAGAGCTGCAGGGGCCTCTGGGCCCCATCTGAGCACCCCACCCAAGGTCTAGGTCAGGAAGGCAGGGAAAGGGACAGCTGGGCCAACCCGGGTGCCTATTTGGTGAAGGCTCCAGGAAATCAAGGCGGCTTCCTTCCAGGTCCTGAGTCCCCACTGCTGCATCCCAGTACAGTCCCCTAGGTCCCTCACCATGCCCATACCCCAAATCTCAGTGTAAGAAACTGGCTCTGTGGCCATCCGAACCTGAGCCTGGGAAGGGCAGACTGTTAGGCAGTTTCACCCACAGGTCCTCACGGCCACTCTGGGACCTGGTAAAGAGCAGACACCAAGCGACACATAGTGGCCGTGACTGTGAGCTCAGCACTCAGAGGCTGAGGCAGAACTAACCCGAGTTCAAGGCCAGCCTGGGTTGTACAGCGAGACCCTTTCTCAAAAAACAAAACCCCCAATAACTCAAAAATGTGGTATATAATACCAGTAACAGTATACGGAATCTGCTGGGTGCAGTAGCACATGCCTGTGCTTGCAGCTCCTGTGCAGGCTGGGACAGGAGCATGATCACAAGTTCAAAGCCAGGGCCAGGAATTCAGCTCAGTGGTGCCACCTCCTGCCTCACAAGTGCAAGGTCCCAAATTTGATCCTGGGTACCAAAAACAAAGGGTGCCTCTTACAGTCAGTGGGTCAGACCTGGTAAAATATAAAAATACAACGGAGTTAGCCAGGCCTGGTAATGCATGCCTGTATTTCAGCACCTGGGAGGCTGAGGCAGGAGGATTGCAAATTCAAGCCCAGCCTGGGCTTAGTGAAATCCTGCCTCAAAATAAAAATGGGCTCAGGATGGGGATTTAGCTCCCCTGCCTGCCTGGAAAGCACAAGGTCCTGAGTATGATCTCCGGTACCAAAAATAAATAAAACAATAATAATAATAATGATAAAAATGAGCTGTCATGTTGTTCAGTGTACAGGTCCTGGTCCAGTCCTTAGTACCAGAACAAAACAAAAACAACTGAATTGATCTCACACAGCAGTGTCTGCTCAGTTTAAGGGGTGAAGCATAGCTATGCGTGGGAATGGGCTGCAGGCTGCTTGTAACTGACAGTCAGACCAAATGTACTTTACTTTTTCCATGGGGTTCATGCCCACGGTCACGGCTCTTCAGGCCACACACACCCTGGTTGCTGTCGCTGTGCCGGGACTGTGTGGCCGGGGTGAGGACAGCTCTCTGGGTCCCTTCCCAGGAGCCTGGGTGCAGGAGCTGGGTCTCTCGACCTCCACTGTATTCCCTGCAGACGCCTCTCCTGCCCTTGCAGGAGGCCATGTCAGCCTGGGATCCCCAGCCCTCTGTCACCAGCCAGAGATGAGAAAGTCTTCCCGCAGCCCACTTCCCACCTCATGTCTGCACTCGCTCTGCACCCCAGACATGCACAGGCTGGAATGCAGACTGTACAGTAGCAAGGGCAAACCCTTCAGAGCTTTTGACACAAACAGCCCGCTGAGGCGCAGTGCCATAGGTCCCCCACTGCTATGGAGAGCCACCTCATCTGTCCGGGCTGTTTGGAGTAAGACACCAGGTCAGTGAAGTTCACTCCTGACATAAAACCCTTCTCCACTGTAACCATGCTAAATGGCACTGTGGGATGCATCACTTAGAGAACCACGACAAAGCACAGGTAAAGTTCACGCTCAGAGACCCCAGGTGAGACTTCCAAATGGTCTACGTACCTCGTATGAGCTCGTAGATATTCATGTCCATAAGTTCACATATGAGTGCCAGAGAACCAGATTTTCTGTCACTGAAGAAGAAAGCAGGATTTTAAAACTATTTTCCTCACCTTAATCATGAAATATAATTGAATATTTAATTCACTGGTAAACATTTCCAGTAAACACATGGTATTCCCACAACGGGCAGGGAAGGCACAGTCATGAAATAATAGAGGCTTTTATTTTCAATCAATATTTCAGCTAAAAATAATTTAACGTGCTAGAAAACCCTGCTTTAAGCAATATTCCAAAAGTCTTTGTTTTGTTTTGCTTCTTTTTTTTGAGATAGGATCTCAATGAATAGTTCAGATTGGCCTTGAGCTTGTAGCAACCGTCCTGCCTCAGCCTCCTGGGCTGGCTGTACTCCTCTTAAAAAAGAGATACATTTGAAAATATAAAATTACCTTAAAATGTAAAATTAACTACTAGAAGAGAAACAAAAAGAGGTCTGACAGTTGGCTCAGCAAAACAACAAAGAAAACCGACTCTAATTCATGCTCCATGGCCACACGTTTGCTTTTCCTTTATCTGCGTTCCACCACCCCAGCCTGCACAGAGAGTTCCAGGCTGCAGGGAAGCCTCCAGGCCGGAGGAGCCAAGAGGACAGGCTGTGCTTCTACCTCCTCCTTCTCTTTTTTTGTTTTTTTCTTTCTGGTAATGGAGAGGGAACACAGGGACTATGCACTCAATTACATGCCCAGCCCTTAAAATATTTTTTGTGTGTGCGTAGAGAAAAGGTCTCCCTAAGTTTCCCAGATTGGGCTCCAACTTGTGATCCTCCTGCCTCAGCCTCCCAGAGTGCTGGCCTTCTTGAAAGGTACGCAAACCTACTCTACCATGAGGCCACAAAGAGACATGCCCTGAAACACAATCAACAGTAAGGGCAAAACAGGAGACTGCAGAGGCATTAGCTGCTGAGGACAAGGGGAGCACGTGGTCCTGAACCCTGCTCTCCCAGGAGCCTGTGATTCACACTCAAGCCCACAGAGGCCCAGCGGGGCTATAGGAGCCAAATCCTGCTTCAGGGAAGGTGTCTCCATAGGGATGCAGGCACACATCTGTCCAGGTACAAATGTGACAGAAAAAAATGAAGCCCAGCACAGTGACATGTGACTGTAAATACAGCAGCCAGGAGGCTGAGACGGGAGGGTCACTGGGTTCAAGCCCGGCCTGGGCTACACGGTGAGTTCAAACCTAGACTGGACTACACAGTGAGATCCTATCTTAAAAAATTAAAATAGACACAAGGTCCTGAGTTAGTTTAATTAAAATTAAAGTTGTTGTGCTGAGCTACAAAGCAGTTATGTAACCTGTCTGCATGGTTTTCCTAAAGAGATCTATTCGTGTAACTGCTGCACTCAGATCTACTCACAAGACCACCTCGTGCAGTGTGAGGATGTTTGGGTGCGGGTTCAGGCGCCTCAGAGCTTGTATCTCCCGCAGATGGTTCACCTGTTCCACGCTGGGTTGAAGTAAAAACAGACAGCTATTTTCAGTGCAGCCCCACCTCATAATCAGGGTTATCAAGTCAGATTTGTCACCCATCATCAGAATCTTTAAATGCACAAATTTAAAGCCATATGATTAGGTTTCATTTTTCCCCACCAGAAATTGAGGTTAATCACTGTCTGTACATCATCTTATAAAACTCAGTTTTATTTCTGGTACTGGTGATTGACCCTAGGGCCTTTGCACTGAGCTGCATCCCCAGCCCTTTCCTGTGTTTCTTATTTTGAGATAGGATCTCACTAAGTCACTAAATTGCCCAGGCTGGGCTCGGACCTGAGATCCTCCTGCCTCAGACTCCGAGAGTGCTGGGATCACAGGCTGCACTACAGGACCAGCTAAAGGCAAGGTTATTAGAGATTACAACACACCTTAAATTTTCCCACCTAATACCCTTAGACAATCTGGTATTATTCACATATTGACAAACACAGACACTTAAATGTCTGATTAAACTTCCCAGTAAGATTTGTTAGTAATCAAGATCACTAATCAGAATGCACCCACTGGCTTCTGGGAATGGAGCGCCTGAGTAACACTCTTCCTGTCTGAAGTGAAACCATGGTGTCCAGGAGCAGAGCCTCCTGTCTTCCTAGCACCCCATCTCTCTGGTGACACCATGCTCATCCTGAGCCACTGAGGCCCTGGGAGGCATCCTCTACCCTGTGCCAGCAACCTGCCGGCCCTGTGATGGCCCATAGTCCGGGGTACTGGGGAGACCCTTTCTCCTTCAGTAGTGGGATTCAGGATTCTGGTTTTTGCTTTTGTTTTTGTTTTTGGTCTGAGCCAGGGTCTCACTCTATAGCCCAGTCTGTCCTCAAACTTGCAGCGATCCTCCTGCCTCAGCCTCCCAAGTGCTGGGATCACAGGCTTGTGCCACCGTGCCCAGCCACAGGATTCTGTTCTTTTAATATGCAGAGGGGTCAGTGATTTGTTGGGGTATCCAGAGCACAGTCTGGATAGATCACTGAACATCTACAGTTTTTTTTTTTGTTTTGTTTTTGTGTTTTTGGTACCGGGGATCGAATTCAGGTCCTTGTGCTTGCGAGGCAAACAGCTCTCAAGAGCTTATTAAGCTGCTGTGGAACTGTCCACAGAAGGACCCGGCTGGATGAGTTCCTGCACTATGGCTGGGGAGCAGCTGGAAGGCATCCTCCTCTTGGTGTGATCCGCAGGGCTCCTGAGAAGACAGACAAGCCAGGCAGGCAGGGTGGCTGCAGCCAGGGCAGGGAAGGTGTGCGTGGAGACACAGCCTCAGTGTCACTCATAGTCCACCCCACGTCCCCCTCATGCCAGGACCAGTAACTGCTCCCACAGGGCAACACCTAAGAGGAAAGACAGGGCCAGGTCTGGGCCAGGGCTCAGGGCCTCGGGAGGCTAGGGTCGCACTGGGCCCGAGAGAGCAGCTGCCTGTCACCCTGCCCGAGAACTGTGTGACATGGAGCAACCATCATGACCAGGCTGCGGAGGCAGGGGCTACCTGGGGACCCGCTCAGCTGGTGTGCTGCTCACTGCACCCTGGCCCATGGCACAGAGCCAGGACAGGACTTCCACAGTATTCCCCCAGCATGCCCTGAGGAACTGGCCACAGTTCAGTCGGTACTCTCGGCATTCTCAGAAACTACAAAGCCAGGAAAAGAGCTTGGGGTAAACCAGTACATCCCAGTGTGCTGGCCAAGGGCCCTCATCATGATCGGGTTGCCACCCTGTGGGTCTGGGCCCCGCGGAGTGAGGCTGTAAAACAGCTCTGCTGTGGGCAGGGAGGACATGGGAGGCACAGGCAGGGCAAAGCAGAGCAGAGCCTGTAGTGAGTCCTGCCACGGTGCTCCTGCGCCAGGGACAGAGCCTCTGTGACCACCCCTAGACCCACTGGGAAGAGACCACTGGCTCCTGCGCATGGCCTTGTGCCTGGGGGCTCACAGTCGGCCACTCCCTGCAGCATGCTGCCGCTGGGGTTCTCCCCTGGGGAGGACTCTGCCCTCCAGGAACATGTGACATTGTCCAGGGATGAGTGCAGCTGTCACAAATGAGGGACAGAGTACTGTGGCAGCCCCCAAGCAGAAGCCTGAGATGATGCAGAGATGAGAGGAGCCAGGCATGGTGTTGCCAGGGCTGGGTGGGAAGAACAGAAGCGCTGGGCTGGTCTCCAGCACAGACAGTCATATGGCCATGCTGCCTAGACAAACATCCTCTCGCTTGCCAGGATGGAAAACCAGCCACCAGGCCCTGGGACATCTCGCCTACTGCACACAGGGTTCTTCCTCATCCCCAGGAATTCTCTGAGGATGACCTGAGAACAGACTCCAAAAGGCACATTTATAGGGCACTGCTAGACCCCAGGTGAAGAGTTCCCTAAGTAACAGAGTGGGGCCAAACTCAAATCAGCTTGTCCTCACTTTCAAAAATCATGAAAAATACCGAATAGTTTCTCTGGTGTGAATAATCTGCAGTAATAAATAAGATCCTAGTAAGATTACTGACATTTAGAAATGGGAAGAAAGGAGCTAAAGGTGTTGGGAAGGTGGGATGGGTAGGGGAAGGGTAATAAGGGAAAAGAAAAAAATATGAGATAATGAAAAGATGGAAATAAAGTGTTTGTAGATGGGGAGGGGAGGAGGGGGTGAAGGGAGGGCAGGGGTAAGGGGAAAAAATGAGAATCAAGACTTGTCATATAGAGGTACAAGATCCCAACAATGAATGTAACTGTACTGCATCCCTAAAATGTACCAATAAACTCAATTAAAGCTGAAATTTAAAAAAAATCATGAAAAAAATACCTCAAAGCACCAGAAGTTATCACTTTTCTCTGCCATGGAGTTGAATTCTGTGGTCAGGCAATATTCAATCTGTATTTTTACTATCCGGTTGTAAACAAAATATCATGGAGATGAACATAAGAGAAATATAAGCATCTTCTTCAAAAAGAATCAGATGAGGCAGGGCTGGGGATTTAGCCTCAAACAGTGCTGAGGGGACATCTGCGGTTTTAAATGTTTATACTGTAAAGGAAGAGCTGCGATCAGTTATCAAAGTGTCCACCCTGTGAATGCAGAATAAGAGTAGGTCCAATGTAAGTAGAAGAAAAGCAATGAAAAAAAAAAAAAAAAAAGATCAGAAACGAAGGAAGTAGAAAATAACAGAAAAAATTAAGTTGTCTCTTTCAATGAAACAGAAAACTCTTGTAAATAGCAAAACCTACAAAATGTCACAATGTAGAATGGCTTCTGCTGTCTTGAACAGCAGTTTGCTTTGTTGAGTTCAGAATTAACAGACACCAGCGGCATTAACCACTGAATGAGGTATTTGGTCTTATCCTGTAAACCAAGATTGTAAAAGTGTCAAGATGAAAAGAACCACTATTAACATTTGCTTTCCTGATCCTGAACATTCCATTCCTGTGGGCTAGAATAGATAGGTAGGCAAATCTTAAAAGAAGGTAAACTCCCCTAACTACAAAGAATTGCTACATCTGGGTTAAAGTTAACTATCTTGCCAGCATGATTTGTATATTGGTAATGTGAACTGGGAGACTGAAATGTAACCACCTGCATGAGATCAAAGCTGTAAAATCCTATAAAAGAGGGAGCTGGAGGCTGAGAGAGGAGGATTGCTGTGAGTTCAAGACCAGCCTGGGCTACATAGTGAGTTCCAGGTCAGTCTCAACTATATAGTGAGACTGTCTTTTTTTTAAAAAAAGAGGGAGCTCCAAGGCAGTAGGTGGTCGATCACTGGCACAGCTTTTGAGTGTGATCAACCTTTTGTCAACAAAATAAACTTTTTCTTATTTGACTTCCACTCTGCGTCTCTGTGTGAGAGACTGAGGCAGGAGGATCAAAGGTTTGAGCCCAACCTCGGTAACTTGGTGACTTAGTGAGATACTGTCTCAAAATAAAAAATAATAGGCTGGGGATTTAGCTCAGTGGTCTGCCACCTGCTTCACAAGCACAAGGTCCTGAGTTCAATCCCTGGTACCAAATAATAATAATAATAATAATGATAATAATAATAATATATTATTATTATTATTTATTGTTTTTGTTGTGTATTTTGTTTTATTTTGAGACAGGGTCTTGCTGTGTAGCCCAGGCTGGCCTCAAACTCACAGTGATCCTCTCACCTCAGTCCCTGGAGTGCTGGGATTACAGTCACTCACCACCATGCCAGGCACAAAAATAATGATTTTCAAAAAGAGTGGGAGGTATAGCTCAGTGCAGAGGCCCTGGGCCCTATCCCCAGGAGAGGGAGTGGGAGGGGGAGTGGGGGAGACTTCCCAGCTTGTCTGCGAGGCCTGGGAACCCTTACATTAAAACCTAGCAGACTTTTACAAGGGCAATTAATAAATACAAAAATACTGGATAAACAGTATAAAGTCCAGCAATGTAAAAAAACATTAGTCTCGTAAACTGCACTTGATGCATCACAGAACTGCACACCTGCACCCACCCCTCCCACGTCCTCTTCCCTCCTCTGCCTCCCTCCCCTAGCTGCTTCCCTGAGCCAGCACCAAGGGGTACTGTTCACCTCACGTGGCCACTCCTACCACACAATAAGGGGAACTGAGGCATGGAAAAAGCAAGGAACTGTGCAAGGTCACAGAACTGAGCCCCAGAGGTGCAGCCCAGAGACAGGGACCCTGCTGTCCCAGAACAGCTGCAGAAGTGGATGCACAGAGGGCACACACATCAAGGCATTGGGAAGATTCCCACTTCCAGGAATGTGGATAGAAAAGCCTCAAACTAAACACAAAGACTTTGGCTATGAGCTTAGGAGCCCCCAGGTGCCGCCCGTCTTGTCCCCTGCTACCAGCATGTCACTATTTTTATCCTACCCAAATTTCACATTAGCAAAGATTTTTGCAAAAGCTGTCCATTTATGGGGAAAAAAGAAACAAGACATATCATAAACTGGTATAAATCCCCTATGATGAATGTGATAAATATGTATATTTAAAATGTACTGCCAGGCGTGGTGGCACATGCCTGTAATCCCAGCATTTGGGAGGCTGAGGCAGGAGGATAGCTGTGAGTCCAAGACCAGCCTGGGCTACATAGTGAGTTCCAGGTCAATCTCAACTACATAGTAAAGAAACAAGACATATCATAAACTGGTATAAATCCCCTATGATGAATGTGATAAATATGTATATTTAAAATGTACTGCCAGGCGTGGTGGCACATGCCTGTAATCCCAGCATTTGGGAGGCTGAGGCAGGAGGATAGCTGTGAGTCCAAGACCAGCCTGGGCTACATAGTGAGTTCCAGGTCAATCTCAACTACATAGTGAAAAAAAAAAAAAAGGCCAGGCATTTTGGTCAAGGGAGCCATGTCTGCCTGGCAAGTGCAAGATGGTTCCCTAGTACTTAAAAAAAATTCATTCTAGGTCAGTGAAAGTCAGGCTGCAAGTTGCAGCTGAACAACTCAAGGCCCCAACTCCATGATCAGAGGCCAGGATCAGCCTGACCTTCTGTAGAGTTGAAAGCAACAGAATCAGCACCCTGTCCTGATCCTACTGCATGTTTGCTGGGATCACCCAGCACGGATCTGGGCTCTGTCTGCATGCTTTGTTGACCAGAAAGCAGAGGCATGCCCTGAAGTGGATACTACCACAGAATTGTAGATACCAAAAGATAACCACAGGCTTGAAATCATAGAGAAATCGCAGAATCTCTTTTTTACCTCTTTTTTTTTCCTTCCTTCCTTCCTTCCTTTCCTCTTGATTATTTGATTTGTTTCTTTATGACTGTGAACATTGTTTTTAGCTGTTTTGTTGTTGTTATATTTAGGTCTTGTCTTTGCTGTTTCCTTCTTTCTTTCCCTCCTTCCTTCTTCACCAGTTTCTCAAAGTTTGGATAATCTTCCTTTGTTTTTCAGCCTTGCTTCTAATCGCTTTCTCTTCTATTATTTTTCTATTTTTTCTTCTTCAACTGTTTAAATTTTCTCCTCAAAGTTAAAATTGATCTGAGAGAATATTTACTGTACATAATTTTCTGATTTGTTTTAGATTTTGTTGTATTGTGCCCATGGTTTAGGTGGCAAATTAACAGTTACCACAGCTTATTTTCAGGACTGTGCTTGATGCTATTGTTATTCCTGATGGTGTTACTTTAGCCAAAGTGACACAGTTGTTGTGATCGACTGATCGTCCTTGCATACCAATACTGAGATTATTTGGGGTCACAAA